AATATGTCAGCGCTCGAGCGGCATGGGTTCGATCCTGGTTGCCGGCATTCCGCCGAATCGAACTTTTCATCTTTTGGTCCGCGCGGGCGTAATTTTCAGTCGGGTGACTCGGATACGCCGCGGAAATCTGCATCGACTCGGGGGCGTCTCGGAAATACCCACCTCTCTCCCCACGATGCGTTAACACCACGGAATCGAATCCGAGGCACTCCGGATTCGGGGTCAGAACTTTGTGATGTAAGGCTTAGGGTTTAGAAGGCACGTGCATCGTCGAAGGATGAGCCCCAGTAAAGGATGAAGTTCCTTACAGGAACTAAAGAAATAAGCAGAAATAAGCACACCGCTTAATGAAAGGATGATGCTGGCACACCGCCAACGTCGCCTCGCCGCATACAAGAGCAATAACACAATTGCTCAGGGAACTTCTGATTTGGCACCCATGGAAGAAGCTCTGCTTGGGGTTCTCACTGAGCCGCCATAACGCGGCTTCTCTCTCTTAAGGGAAACGTACAGAAAGTTGCCTCAGCAACTTTCAAGTCCGGCATAAGGCTCCAGTCGGAACTATGCTAGCCTCCAGTCTACGCAACATGCAATCTATCATTGAGTCCGAGTCAAACGCAATCGTACGATTGAGTCAAATCCTAATCATCAACGGCTGAAATCTATCGCGCGCGCGCAGCTCCAATGTACTGCGGCACTGAGCCTCTACGGCATGACAGCTGTCGTGCGGTACACTATCGTTGCGGCAACGTCTCGGCGCCATCGTGTCCTGCGCCTCATCTACGAATTGCATCATACTAATCCAGCAACAACAATTTAGCTTGCTACCCCCCCCATGCTCGGCAGTGCCGTCTCGGCACAGCCTACTCCTCCTCCTCGCCCTCCTCGTTCACCACCCGCCAGCGCTCCGCCAGGATTTGAGCCGCGTTGGCATGCACAACCCCTGCGCCCGCTGGGCTTGCGCGCCGTGCTTCCACCAGCCGTGCGTCTCGCAGCTCCTTGACCATCGCCTTGAGATCGAAGATCTATCTCCTCCCTTAGCTCGACAATCGTGATGTCACGAGGGTCAATCACCCCCGACCCCTGGGCCGCCTTCTTGCCGGCCCACTCCGGCTTCATGCTGGGGTTGCTCGACCAGCACGCCCCCTCTGCATGCCCCTGCTTTCCACACTTGCCGCACGTCGTCGTCCTGCTCAGGGTGCAGCGCGCCGCCACGTGATCAGGCTCCCCGCATCGGAAGCAGCCCGCCCCGTCACTGCCCCTCGCCACTCCCGCAACCGTCCCCCTAATGCTCGCAGCCGCATGCACTAACACAGGCGCCCCCACAAGCTCCGATGCCTGCCACCCCCTGTGGCCCTCAGCGTACGCCTGCGCCAGGTCGATACGCTCTGCAGTCTCAAATGCCTGGGCAAGGGTGTACACCCCCACAGGGCAGCGCATTGACGAACGTCAACGCCTGCTCCTTCTCAGTCAAGATCCCCGTCTCCTCCTGCAGCCTCTCCAACCGGCTCAGCAACATCCGGCAGGTCTCATCCTTCCTCATTGCCAAGTTCTGCAGCTCCCTCACGTGCGCAGCGCTTGCCGCCCCAAACTCCTTCTTGAAGAGTGTCACCAAGTCCTCAAATGGATCCCACTCCGCCATCACCTTTGCCTTCTGCTCCTTCGTTGCCCCCTCCTCCACCTCTGGCTCCTCCAAAATCTCCCACTTCTTCTTGCACCAAACCTGCAGCGCTTCGTTCTCCAAGTAGGCTGGAAGCTGCTGCAAGAACTCATGCGCTTCCAACTTCTTGTCCTTCGACTTTGCCTTTGCAAACGCTGCCTCCAATCTGTCATGGAAGTCATCCAGGGACATAGTCCCTGGGCGCCCGCTGTACAAGCCATATCGCCCTCCCCCCATCTCTGTCGCTGCAGACACCACATAACTGCCTGCCATTCTTGCTAGAAAGCACCCCCCCCAGCTGAAATGCCCTCTACTTCGTCTATTCTGAGCTCAAGCACACCTGCTTTCAGCTCAAAACCCACAATTCTAGCTCAAACACACAATTTGAGCTGAACCCTAAATCACAATGCCCCCACAATGCGCTGACGCTCCCGCCTTGCGCACCCCCCCAAAGAAACGCACTCGCCTCTGTTGCTTGACAAGCCCACACAGGGCTGTCTTGCTCCACAGTCCTGGCTGCAGTAAGCCTGGACAACACTTAGACCGATTCACAGCCTGTCAGACTCAAGAACCTGGACAAGGCCGCACTCAGCTTTCCAGACCTCCGAGCCTCCGCTTGAGCGCAACCTGAACACACAGGCTGCCTACCACAACTGCTGTTTGGATCTTGCAGGAAACAAAACCCTTAACTTTCTGTACGTAGAAATAAGCACACCGCTTAATGAAAGGATGATGCTGGCACACCGCCACAACCGCCAACGTCGCCTCGCCGCATACAAGAGCAATAACACAATTGCTCAGGGAACTTCTGATTTGGCACCCATGGAAGAAGCTCTGCTTGGGGTTCTCACTGAGCCTCCATAATGCGGCTTCTCTCTCTTAAGGGAAACGTACAGAAAGTTGCCTCAGCAACTTTCAAGTCCGGCATAAGGCTCCAGTCGGAACTACCGGTATGCTAGCCTCCAGTCTACGCAACATGCAATCTATCATTGAGTCCGAGTCAAACGCAATCGTACGATTGAGTCAAATCCTAATCATCAACGGCTGAAATCTATCGCGCGCGCGCAGCTCCGATGTACTGCGGCACTGAGCCTGTACGGCATGACAGGGTCGGCACCATGGCGTATTCGACGTCCCTATCCGATAGCTAGGCCGTGAAAACTATAGTCAGCACGGATATACACACTTGCCAACCATCTGAACACGGCAAAAGCATTATTTTGCCAATTAAAGGAATCTTTAGCGAGGATGTATGCCGTATCCGACCTTCATGGTGTCTTTCATTAATTATGCGGACGCGTGCCATGTGCACATGTACATGTACTCGTAAGTCACGGTTTCTTGTCGCCGTGAAGGCGCTATACATGATTATGCGTTCAAAACTGCGAGCCATGCGCATGTCTACTGAGTCGCCGATTCAAGCAATGAAAGGCCCTCAATCTGCTCTGACAGTGAAGTGTATAATGTGTCATGCCTTTTAAAGAGAACACTTGTTGGCGATTAACCGTAATTCTTTTCACCCTTTTGGCCGTCCTTTCATACAAAGTGATATTTGGACGTCGACAATTTTGCGTATCTGCAACAACTTGTTATTGACGTCCTCATTCAAGTTGTAGCTTTTACTACGCGACTCGGATGCTTTGCTGCATGAGGGTGGGGGGTAGGGCGCCAAAGCACCTACTCTCCTTCAGGCAATCCTTGCCCTTTCAACTGGTCTCTCTGCATCGCATGAGTGCCATCCGGTACCTGCTCATTAGCAGCCGAAATCTTCTTCTATGCGCACCTTCTTAACCCGCTTGCAAGGAGCTCCAGTAAATCAAGAATCCCGTACGCCTTCAAACCATGCTTTGGGTTGCGAGTGAACAGGGTTGCATTCACCCACTGGGTACCCGCGCAGATGAACGAGTCCCACCACGGAAGAGTTGCTTACATGGGCTTCACATAGGACTGAAATAGCTTCGTCGCGCGTCGGGCTAGCAGTTCGGCTCGGGCTGTCGCCGAGTCGTCGACTAGGGGCCCTGAAAAGCCTTGTGGATTTCCTGTTCGTCCATCTCCGCTCCCGCTTCTGCTCCGCACCGACGCCTCTATTCTAAAAACGACTTCGAGTAGCTCCCCCGCTGAGAAACCTGGACCCCCCGGCTGCCCCCCCGCTGGAGAACCTGGACAATATAGACCGCGGAGACGTTGGAAGTGGACGTGGGCACTGTCAAGCTGCTGATCTCCCCCCCTTTTCGGTTGGGTAATAAGAGGACTGGCTTCGGATTTCGCAGGGACGGAGTTCTGAACGTGGGAAAATGCCCTTCTGGAGCCGTGCGCGGCCCCAAAACCGGTGCTCTAGTACGCTTCTTTTGCCCCGTCGTTCCGGACCTCGTTCTGCTCAGCGGACGGCATTCAAAGGACGTTGGATCGACGTGCGAGATGTGCCAGCTGGACAGAAACGTGGCAGCTTCTTTGCCGTCCATCTCGCAACCGCCAACGCCTCAAGGATCGTGTTAGTGGCGCTCGATTCAGATCCGTCGGTTGGAAACGGGACTGCTGGGATTGTGGCAAAGGAAAAGGTGGAGGCATTCGTAGAGTATATTCAGGCTGCCAGAACAAAACGAAGCCCATTCGTTGAAAATTGGAGAGGGGACCGAGGAGCCTTGCATGGTTGGCAATGAATCGGACAATTCTTGTGCGCTTGGAGCAGACTGGATATCGCCAATAGCGTGCGCAGGAGCATGGACGCAGGAAGAGACGGACACTTCTGACGTATCACAACGTAAAGATCAATGACTTAAGATGACATGGCTCACCGCAACTTTATGCAAACATGTGCCGCACATCACTCTCCAGTAATCGAAGGCTCAGGTGATAGAAGGCGATCGCTCGGCCTGGTCAGGATTGAGGGACTCTTCGAGGTCTTTAAAGCGGGCGTCTGGTGTCTCCCAAGACATCTCTGACTCGCATTCCAAACTGCAGGATACGTTTCTCCATTGTCTCCTCTGGCACCTCCGGGTAGAGGCGCCGGCGACACTCCTGCATCTCTTGCAGCGACCAGTCGGGCAGCCGCCAGACCTCGCAGAACCTGCACCACCGATGCAGATCGGGTGAATCAGTGCAAATAGACGAAACTGCGACACTTTTAGAAGAGGCCTGCACACGGCCCAAAAGTAATATGATGTCGGGCGCTTTTGCAGACCAAAGGACTCGGTGACAGGCACGAATACGATCTGCTGTCCTGGTGTCCAAACGCTTATACCAACCAGTGCCGTCAAGTGAAGTTGAGAAAGCGCACGGCGATTGAAACATGCGCCTGACTGCATCCGCAAACTTCCGTCAATTTTCCTAAAACAAAAAACTGTTCGGTGGACATTTCTTTGAGCAAAGCTACCTCGCCACCTCGCCAGTCCTAAATTTAATCAAGAAAACCGTCTCAACATGTCAATCCGGAGATTACTTAATTCCCTTTGGCGAACTCCTTGTAGTCATCCACGTCGGAAGAGCACAACACGATGTAGCGACCGACGCCCCGGAACTGAGCCTCGGGGGCTCGTCCATCTTTAACACACCAAATGGAGCGGTCCTTGCTCAGGCCTGCAACAAGCGGAGCGGACACACTTCAGTCTGCTTAGCGTAAGAGCAGCGCTTGCAATGAGGCAAACCTACGATGAGGGCCTTGAGCATGCGCTTTTTCAACAACTGTTTACAACCGTCACCAACTTGCCGCAGGGAATTTGTTTGCAATGAGCATAAACATTTGTTAGAAAGCGTTGCTAGGCAGCTGTTTGAGAGGGTAAGCAGACTCCGTTTGCCGTGTGACAAATGTTTGACAGTACAGCAATCATGATGTGATCCGCTTCTGTACTCACGTCGGATTGCTGGCCAGCCCTGTGTGCCTTCAGAGGCTATCTTGACTTGGATTGCAGACAAGTCCGAAAAGTCGAAGTAAACGATTGTGTCCCCTTCGAACATGTCTTGGTACCTGCGAAGGCAGACTTGAGTTGTTGACACAGAATAGTAAGCACGTGCATCTCTGATGCGGAGGCCTGCTCAGCAAGTTGCTAATTACAAGTCAAGTAGGCAGCTACAGAGTCAGATACGAACGGTGCCTGTCACACACCTGTAAGTCACTTTCGCCTTTTTCTTGGCAAGATGGTGCAGAAGCAGGGGGGCGAAAGCGGACTTCCCAATCCCGGGAGAGCCGCTTAACACCACGCCAAATGAGTCGCCGAGAGCATCAAGCTTCTTCAGGACCAAAAGATAACACTCCCAAATCATGATGCTCTCGCTAAGGGCTGGAGGCACAACGTCTGCCAGGCCGGGTGGCACTTCGATGTAGCCGCTGGACGTGTCCACTGTTGCGATGAACTCGGCGTATGCTTGGAGCACTGGGCATAAAGACAGACTTGGTTTTGGTCGCAACAAAGCTGTGCTAGAAATGACAATCCTGATGCAAGGGCAACCCACTGCATTCCACATAATAGCACCTAGAGCAAGCTGATCACACCAGCTTCCAAAAATCGAGCAAAGGAGGGGAGGTCACACTAATGGAAATCTGATTGGAGGCGCCCACCTTGAGTATCGGCAAAAGTCGCCCTCCATGCGCCTGGTTGGCATTCATCCGGAGGCTCCGGTAAGTCGTTCAACCCTGCAATATATCAATCAGTCATGTAAGAAAGACAGATTGTGTCTTCCCAAAGAAAAGTGACACTTAGTAGAGTCACTCCCCTGCTTGCAATCACAAATTGTGAAAGAAACAAAGAAGCCAGAGGTCCCATTGCACCGGCCTAGAACAGACCCAGCTACTTTCTGGTCAAGCTCTACTAACATAAAATGGTACAACAATATGGCGATGCTACGAGGCAACTTTCTCACCTTGCACTCTTGCGGTGGTGACACGTCCCTTGCGCGATGACTCCTGCATGGCTGGTCTGCTCAAACGCGGTCTGGTCCTTGAGTTTCCGGGCAGCCCTGTAGGTGCGAGATGCAATATTTCGTCGATCTTTCGTATGCAAGCAATCTAAAGAGCTAAACTTCGGCTGTGGGAAACAACAAGCCATGACCCTTCAGATCCAATAATGCGTATGTCCAGGTCATGAATGATAACCACCTCACATGCTGGCATAGCCGCAAATCCTTTTGTAGGACAGCAAAGCCTGTTGGCGCCACCCCTACTAGTAGCCACAGATTTGCTGCGCTGGTGCACAGAGGATGCGCCCATCCAACATCGCCCGTTTCCCACTGCCCCTGCATCTGCCGTCAAGGCTCCAGCATACATGGCCGTAACGTCAGCAGAGCACGAGAGCACGGCCACAACAAAGCTTGCTGTGACTGGGATGCTCCTTCAATGTACGAAATGCACTGCCAGATCTCCCCAAGAGGCTGAGCAATACAGAAACAAAACCAGACGGCCCTGCACAAGCCACTACATTGTCCGGCCGGTTGTCAAAAAGCGCACTACGATTTGCCCGGGGCCCGCAAGATACGGGGCTGTTCATCCAGCGGGGCCACGTCAAATGTACGGAATTGAACTGGCCAATGAAACAGGGGTGGTACATATACCACGTGGGT